TATCTTAGAGTTCTTCTAGATATCCTTAATAATATACATCAATTTCATAATCATCATTATATCCATTTTTAATCATGAGTTAATCATACCAATCAGTAGGTTAATCATTCATAATTGGCCACAATAATAGTTCATCATAATAATCATTTAACATAACATTTAATAACAATTAGCGGCCTAATCTCGAGTGTTAACACCCGAACTTACCGTCATGTATCACATAATGTTTTAATTTGTTAAAAACATCATTTTTGTTATGAAAAATCATTTTTATAATAATCATAATCAATTGGTATCAAAAATAGGATTTTAAAGTTCAAAAATAGCAATTTCAGACAAAATTTCGGACCAGAGTTTCGGAAGATCGATCCAGCCCTCTGGATCCATCCAACTAGAAGAAAAACTCCTAGAGGATCGATCCACTCTGTGGATTTTCAGCCACTGTTCATTCGTCTTCAACCTCGGTCCATTTTTCGGGAAAACCATTTTTAGTCACCGGACTTCAATTAAACTATATAGAGATGTTCTCCAAGGTTCATAGTTCATATTAGAATTATTAAAACATATTTTTAACATCAAATTCAAGGTTTATGATTCTTGGTTCTTCAAACATGTCAAACACAAAACTCAACCAAATGACCATTTATGAACGTAGAAACGACCTATATGAACATTCTAGTCATTAGATATATCTACAGGCTTACCTCAAAGGTAAATGAAGGTTTTGAATATTTTCTAGCGAAACTTCCGGCGATGATTACTCTCAACTCCGGCGACCTCACACCAATACGACAGCGCCACCACGTTCTCCTAGCTCCCAGCAACAGAATAGAATGAAACTTTGTAAGAAATGGTGAAGAATGGAGGGAGTTGTGGTAGTCTTTTATAGGAGAAGGAAGAGGAAGAAGAAACGGTGATGACTCCATTCTCCTGTTTTGGCGTCTCAGTGGAGCGGACGGCCTATCTCTACAATTCCAAACGCAAGTCCCTGATTGGGACTAATTTGGTCCCAGTCGGGGAACACTTTTTGGTCCAACTTTCTCTGAATTGAAATCCGTTTGCACCGTTGCGATCAGACAGTCGAGCTCTATCCAACGATATACTTTTCATAATTATTTGTAATACTTTTTCTGACATCATATTTTTGGGTGTTTGACTTCAACAGAGTCAAAATTGGTTTAATTGACCTTTCTCATAAAAGGTTCTCTCATTTAATTCATATCAATTATTCTCATGATTTATTTCAATAAATCATTACAAAGTTCACATCATAATTAATTAATTTATTTATTCTTGATTTGGGTCTGTACTCAGGTTCTCAATCAAGACCACACAAATAGTCCACATATTGGATTTATCTCGATTAGACTTATCCAGATTTTGATATTGGATATTAAAAAATATTTCATATCGGTCCAAAGCCCAATAATAATCAAAACAAATTTGTTTAATCAAATAATTATTTAATAATAATTTTAGGGTATGTTTCGGGGCGTTACAAAGCCGGTTGAGGGAGTCGGCGATGGAGGCAAGGTTGGCCCAGGCGTGGGGTTCGGCTGGGCCAGCAGCAGAACGGCGCCGTGGCGCGGCAGTGGCAGGTTTGGCGTTGTCCGACCGCTTCTTGAAGGTTTGGGTGCTGATCGCCCAAATCTTCGTGGCCTTCGTGAGCGGGCCAACAGTGGTGGTCACCTTGAACCGTTCAAGGATGTCCATCACCACGAACGGGTACGGAAGGAGGTGATCGTGGTTGGTGGACGCGGCGACTGTCATGTTGATCATGACAAACTTTGCCCAATTGATCGGGGCCGTGTGCATGATCGCGTGGAGAAGCTTGAGGTCCTCACTGGACATGATCGTGTGCCCATGCTTCCGGGGCTTGATGATTCGGGACATGATGTAGAGAAGAAGCCGGCTCTCGGGGTTTGCGGAGTGGATGGTGGGGCGTTCCGAGGCATGGCGGATGAGCTCGGTGATGCCAAGCTCGTTGAGGATAAGGCCCTCGTTGTTGAGCACCCAGTCCTCTCCGCCATAGTGGGAGATGTCGTCGCCTTGGTAGGGGAGGCCGGCGATGCGCCGAAGCTGCTCAACGGAAAGCTCTATCGGCGTGCTCTTGACAAGAGAGTAGAGCACGTCGCCCTCACGCCAGAGGTTGGAGTAGAAGGCCCGGATCAGCGCCGGGTTGATCTCCTTCCGAGCCCGGGAGACGAACGGCCAAAGGCCGGCTTGGTTAAGCTGCGCGTCTAGATCGTCGTAGCCCTGCAACTTCGGGAAGCGCTCCGGGACAATCCGCGGTGGAGCCACAACCCGTTTAGAGAAGAAGGTGAGGAAACGGGTGCGCTCCTCCTCGGAATCGAACCAGAGATACGATCCATCGCCGTAGTAGAGGCGCTCCTCGGAGTTTGTGGAAGGTGCCCGGGATTTGGACTTTGTTTTCCCGGAGGTGGCAGCCCTGCTCTTGTCTTTGCCCATGGTGAAGAGATCTCAAGAGAAAAGAGTAGAGGAGATGAATTATGCAAAGATATTGAAGAGAATTGTGTTTGTGTGTGTAAAAGTGAAGAGAGGGGGGCCCAATTTATAGAAAAAGATGTTCTCAACGTTCAGATTTTCAAAAATATGGCTGTTGGAGTAATTAATGCAGTTGCCAACGATGTTCCAAAGGCTACATCGTTGTTGGGACAGCGCTGTTGCGCCTCTGGACAACTCTGTTTTGCGTCAACTTTTAAAAACAAGTGTTAAATGGACAGCGATGTTGGGTATCCTACAGCGATGTTCCCAAAGTTTCTGGAAGTGTGTAAGGGTGTGCACCCATTAGAAAAGCGCTGTTGGGTTTCCCGACATCGCTGTTTTATGATAGAGAAAAAAATTTGTAAAAAAGGACAGCGATGTTGAATAGAAGGACATCGCTATTTGAAAAGTTTCTTGTTTGGGTTGAAAACAAGGTGTTTAGGGTAGACAGTGATGTTTTGAAAAGAGACATCGATGTTTAAAAAGTTTCTGGAAAGCAAAGGTAAAGGGAACTCCCTGGGACAACGCTGTTGGTGTATTGTACAGCGCTGTTGGCTCAAGCTGGTTGACGGTGTTTCCTTCAACAGCGCTGTTGGGTCTCCTGGACAGCGCTGTAGGCATGGTTCTCCCTGATTTCATGAACGGGGTTCCTGCAAAGTAACACTTTGGTACCCAAAATATTTTTATGGGTCCTTGGAGGTTAATTGGTTTTTATTATACACACACACACCGAAAGTTTATTTCCACACACACCTTCACACACTCGGTTTGATGATAATTTAGGGGTTACCTTGGCCAACCCGTCGTCCCGTGGTTGGCGGGTTCCAGTGTACCTGAACGGAATGTCGATATCTCGGTGTGATTTGTGTCGGTTCTGGTAACGGAATGTGGACTTTCTTCTTTTCGTCAAAGTAGAAGAAATAGTAAGGTTTCTTTTGTGCATTAGCTTGTGGAGATTGTTTATGATACGAATATCCTTTTCTAAAGGATTTCTTTTCGTTAGCACCAAATATGTTGTGTGTTTCATTATAGGTGAGATGCCTATGTCTAGTAAAACACACGGGAGCTATATGTCCTACCCTATTGCAATAATGGCATACTACATTTGGGTTGAACATATGCCTAGGTTGATAATAGCTAGGGGGTCTAACCATATTCATCCTTTTTTGAGAAAAGGATGTTTTATGCATGTTTTCAAAAGAATCATTTCTAGGTGTCCTCATGTTATTTCTCCTATTTTGAGAAAAATTATTATTATGCACAAAATCATTTTTCTTAGGTTGTCTCCCATGAACATTTTCATTCCTAGGTTTTAGTCTAGGTTGTCTAGTGTCCTTAGGTTGACTAGGTTTTCTATTATCCTGATTTTTAGGTTTCTTACGTTGAGCCTTAGATGGTTGTCTAGATGGTGGCTCAACGTTTTCTTTAACCTTAACTTCATTTTTATTAAAACCTATTCCTTCCTTAGAAAAATGCATAGTGTCAAGGAGCAAATTTAAATCTTTGTGCGGATTATTAAATTTCTTGACCGTACTCTCAAGTTTTGTGACTTGTTCCTTTAAAGCTTTACAAGATTCACATTCGTTTGAGGAACTTTCTGGTTTGTCGGCGCTTCTTTTGCCATAAAATTTGTTTTCTTGGTTTAACTTCTCATTATCTTTTTCCTGATTTTCAAAATCATTTCCAAGAGTGGAGAGGCGTTTCTTTAACGATTTGTTGATTTTAGAAGCGCTAACAAATTCATCATAAAGTGCATGAAGTGCTTCTTGCATTTCTTCAAAGGTGTAAGAGTCGGAATAAATGGTACATACCTCTTGTACATCGTCGGTTTGGTCTTCGTGCGCCATGAGACAGAGGTTGGCAGTTTCATGTTAGAATAAATGCCCTTCACTAGAGGGGGGGTGAATAGTGAGGCACGAGAATGTTTATAAATTTTCGCGGAATAAAAATTACAGGGATAAAGTAAAGAGCGGAATAAAAAGGAGTAAAGGGAGCACACCGAATTTTACCCTGGTTC